GTAGATAAATGAAACTTGTAATCGTTTGTCTCACGATGTTTCATGAACGGCTTCAAAAAGACTTAGCCTGCAGCGCTCTGATCGTTTCATATTTTTGTGTAAATTATTTAAGTATATGAAGCGATCGCTTGAAAATTACGTCGGCTTTTTCTCCTCATTTAAACAACTTCTTGTTAAAGCATAATGTTGAGTCCTTCTGTAGTAACTGATATCATTTATACGATTCAGATGAAAGGAATCATGGGTATGACGTCAGCATAATGCATGACAAAGTTCATAATTCACAACATCTTGATACGATTTAAGTTATGCACCGTTAGTTTCATGACACTTTCGAAATTTGACGCTCTAAAATCTAACTTGGTTTAGTAATATTCAATGATCCCGAGGCCAGAAACTCAGTATGATATGAAAGTTCAAATCAGGCCTCTATACATCAGCATGTGGTCAAAAAATGAACACTAAACGTTCGTATGCTAAAGAAACGTCGTCCTTATAGATCTTCTTCCTGTTTGTTGTTATTAAAGGTTCCTGATGACAAGTTCTGCAACTTGTTTTTGGACAGGTCCCTTGAAACAAATTAACAAATCAATTACCTAAATCAGTTACTCAACTGTGGACCTAAATTGCACAGCTTACAAAAACATTTAGGAGTTATCCGTGTGGTGCTTGTTGATTTGACTCGAAGTTTCACGCAAAATTGACCTTACTGTGAGTTTCTCCCTAAGGTAACGTGGGCACTTGAAATGATTAACTTTCTAAGTAGAGATTATTCTTCGAAAATACCAATGCTTGTTCTGTTTGCTAGAACCAGCAGAAAGAAAATGAAATCTGCAATGGTCATGATGCAGAGGGAAACACCCGAAATTTTTTGGCTCTCTTAGAAAATTTTAAACACACGTAATATTACGTTTCCCTACACAATCAGGATCAGAAGCAAGTGTTTATCTAATTATAAATATGCTAAAAAAAACGTCGTTCTTACAGATGTTCCAGCTTTGTGTTGTTACTAAAGGCTCCTGCTGGCAAGCTCTGCAACTTGTTATTGGACAGGTCCCTTGAAAAATATTAACAAATCAATTACCTAATTTACTTGACTGTGAACCTGAACTGCACAGCTTAAAAAAAAAAATTTATGACTTGTCTGGAATGGTGCATGTTTACTTGACTCGGAGCTTGATGTAAAAATAAACTTGCTATGGGCTTTGACCAATGCTTTGTCTGTTTATTAGAACCAGCAAAAAAAAAAAAAAAAGAACCATTAAATCTGTAATGATTTTGATGCAAAGGGAAACACCCGAAATACTTTCTGAGTCTCTTAGAAAGTTTTAAACGCATTTGATTTTCCCTACACAATCATGATCAGAAGCAAGTATTTATCTTCTTATGGACTGATTTCAATGCAGCCCTCAGAGGTAATTCTGTCTCACTTTGTGCGTCAGCTTTAAGTGAATTATTTCCCACGAATATAGAGATCAGCTCCAAAGCTCATTGGCGTGAACTGGGTCAAACATAAAGGAGCATTTCACTTAATCTTCAGGGTCAATGTACTGACATGTAGGAACAGGACCTGCGGAGGGTGCAGTGGGGGCATCCACACCCACCAA